TGTTCTCAATGAGTTCTTCTTCCACGTTGTACATATATCTGTGATTGCCCTGACCCAAGTGCAAAACCTTGTATTCGGCCTTACTGAACCTCATTAGGTTTCCATGAAACCATTTCTCGAGTATGTCCAGGTGCCTCTAGATGGCACCCCTTCCTTCTGTTGTATCAACTGCAGCCCTAAGGTTGATGTCATTGGTAAACTTATTGAGGGTGAATCAATTAGTCCAACTCCTGGCTCCACGGAGGACCACCAAGAATTCAAACTGTATTTCTGAGAGAGTTGTCCAAATGTTCCTTGGACTCCAGCAGTATGGTTCCATGATCTCTGCCCTGGGCAGCCAGTTCCACTTCCCAACCAACCCCTTGGTGAAGAGCCTCTTCCTAATGTCTTTAAAAAATTATGGCAGATGGGAGAGATTCCTGACGACTGGAAGGAAACAAACATCAGTACTCTATTAAATAAGATCAAGGAGAATTTGGGGAACTGCAGGCTAATCAGCCTCATCTCAGCCTCTGGGAAACTTATTCTGAAAATTGTTTCTGGATGTAAGAAGGGCAAGATGGTGATCAGGAGTCATCAGCATGGATTCACAAAGGGGAAATCATGCCCTACCTTCTTGAAGAGACTAGCTTGGTGGAAGATGACAGTTGCACTCAGACTTTTCTTTGCCCATTTGCCAGGAACATCAGACAGGCTGAGCTGGTGAAATAGCTGGGAAAAAAAATCACATCTCCATAGCTGCAGGGTTCCTTTCTTCAGTGCTGGTCACTTTTTAAATACTACAGAGGAACAGGAAATTCCAAAGTTTTTAAAGTCGAATAGATGGAACAGAAGGCTGGCTTGGCTGTACAGGGATCTTCTTCATCAGCTTATGCTGAAAAAGAATGTATGGACATTGGAAGCAAGGTCAGGCAACATGGGAAGACTACAGGGATGTTGTTTTCTTTTTTAGAGAGAAAATTTGTGTGGCCAGAGATCAGTTAGAATGGAAACTGGCCAAATCTGTGGCAGACAACAAAAAGATGTGGGTTTTTTTTTGTTATTGTTTTTGGTTTTGATTTTAAATATATTTTAACCACAAAAAGAGAACCAGTGAGAACAGTGGTTCATTACTTGATGAGAATGGTCGGCTTATGAACAGGGGCATAGACAAAGCAGAATTCCTTCTTTGACTCTGCCTTCAACAGCAATGATGAGCTCTGAGACCTGAATTGGAGGACCGTGACTGCAGTAATGATCAACTCTCATCCAAGCCCTGACTGGTGTGCAGTTTGCTGCTCCATCCGGATGCATGTAAGTCTATGGGACCCAACGGGATTCATCCTGGGGTACTCAGAGAGCTGGCTGATGTCATCACAAGACTTCTGTCAATTGCTTTTCAATGGTCTTTGGAATCTGAAGACGTCCCAGTTGACTGGAACCTGGCAAACGTTCCAGTTTTCAAGAAGGGCAAGAAAGAAGTCCCTGGTAATTATAGGCCTGTCAGTCTCACTTCAGTGCCTGTTGAAATTACAGGGAAAATTATGCTGGCAGTTATCGAAAAACACCTGAAGGACAATGTGGTCATAGGTCACAGCCAACGTGGGTTCATGTGGGGAAGGTTTATTTTACTAACTTAATTTCTTTTTATGACAAGGTCACTCATCTAGTTGACCAAGGGAAGCCAGTTGATGTTATTTTTTGGATTTCTGTAAGGCTTTTGATAATGTTTCTCACATTCTATCACGTGGGTTGTGTGGGTAGCTTCAAGACACATAGACTTTCTACTGGCTTGAGCAGACTGAACCTGAGGATATACTCCTACCAGTCCAAAAATAAACAGAAGTTTCCAGCTTCAATGCCAAGCAGTGCAGCATTATAGGAAGACAGCGAGGGCCTGGAGACAGAGCCACTTCCTTTCAACCAGGCCATTTTGTGTTTAACATGTGTTGTCCTTGTTCTTCCCTTCTGGGTCAATGGAAGTGACTCAGATATGAAAGTATCTCCTGTTCATTGGATTAAGACTTGAAGAACATAGGGAATAATTAAGCCAGGTGATGAAAAAGCTGAGCAACTGATTTACGTTCCCTCAACAGTAACAGGAAAGCTGAGTAAATAATCTTGAAGCAAGTGACTACTTCCTAAGTCAGTTAGGGCTGATGAGAAGGGAAAAAATAATGGGTTATAAGCAAAGCGAGCAAACAAACAAACAACAAAAAATCCAATCAACAAGGAAAAAAAAAAGCAGACAAAGAGGGACTAGAAAAATTTGATATGGAAGGAATATGAATTCCCACTAATTATAAAGATGTGACTCATCTTTTTACTGCATATTATAAACAGGTGGGGGAACACACCTAGGTAGTTATTAACTCCTGGAAAATCCCCTGTAAGTGCTATGTGTAGATCAGTCTAAATTACCTAAGGGTAAGAAGTACCTGCATCAAGTTCAAAGGACAAAAAAAAAAAACAAAAAAACCCAAAAATGATGGCTTAAAAAAACCCAAATCTAATGAATTATTACATACAAGGAACATGACTCCCTATAAAATCATCTTGTTCCCTACCTCTCCATCCTGGTAATTACACAGAGATGCTCAGTACACTTTGAATGCCTGGGGAAGGGAGGATAAATTTCATAGAGTCCAGTAGGAATTTGGGAAGAGAAGCAAAATTAAGGAAACTTCTCAGACTTGGGGCTTGCTCTGATCAGTTTGTCCCATGTCCTGCACTAGTTGACATCCCCTGCACTCCAGTCCAACATCAAGACGAAAAAGTGTTGGGAGAGCTGCCAAGCTTTCTATTTGCATCTCCAGGCTATAGAAAGACTGACCTTCTATCAGATATAAAAGCCACAAATCTGTGCTCAGTACAGTGCTTTGGGCCTCTGGCTGGTCAGATCAGGGAGATAAAAGCCCCTTCCCCAAGGGCATCTTCCAACAACTCAGTTCCAAGAATTACCTGACATTTATGGGATTAAGAAATGGCTGAAGTGTTTTGCAAAGCTATTCTGATATAACAGTTTTTAATCCAGCCCCAGACATGTTAGGTCTTGGCCATTCGTTGTAGGGCATCGTAGTAAAATCAATTAGTAGGAATAAGGCTGCTGTGACTAATAAGTTAATGAGTGATGGAAATGGCTTCATGAGAACTGCGGGATTGGATTCCTGATACATGCAGTCATAGGGATATACCAGATTTAGCCTTGGTAATGTCTGGCTTTTACCTCGCTTTTCCAAATTTCTCTTTAACTTTTAAAGACTCTTCATCAGAGCAAGGAACAGAGGAGGGAAGAGATGGATGTTTAATCCTTCTCTTTCTAGGTGCAAAGTGCTCTAATCTCTGCAGAATCATGGTGTCCACAAGAGATGAATGGGGGAGATGATGCATGAAGAAGTGAAGTTTATGTCATTTCATCTCTCCACACCAGCAGGTTTGCTCATTAGATAAACCCATCCTTCCTTAAGTGGCTTTCATCATTGACATTATTTTGTAGTTACTAGGAGAAAACAATGAACTGTTTGACAAATCTCCTTTTTAACCTTTCTAATACATAGCTTATATTGTAGGTATAATTAACATTAAAACATGCCCTAACTTAATATCAAAGGTTGGGTAACTGAGGTTAATTTTTCAAGGTCATCTGGTAATTCATTGGTAGGGCTAAAAATATACCTCTAAGCATCTGCTTTTAAGGTCAGTGCCTGCTCCTGTTGCTTCCAGTAACTCATGCACTTATTATCAGGGTTACACAAAAATAGCAGTAGAGTATTCATGAAAAAGAAGAATTAACTGGTGGTTAAACCACGTGGAATACAATGCTGTCTCTATTTCTGGAGTTGCTACTACCTTACTGCATAAGCCTAATTAACCTCTCTGCATCTCAGCTTCTTATGTCTGATCTTGATATAATAATATTTACTCGTGTTGCAGGGGTATTCTCAGGTTTAACCTACTTGTAGGTGTGCAGCAAAAGCCTAGTGCTAGCATATGACACAATTATTTCAGCATCCCTGCACATCTACCTTTAAATCCTATCAAAGCATTTCCTTTCTGGAAACATGTGGGATTTCTAGCAAATATACAAAATAATGAATAGAGTCAAGAGAATGGAGCGTTTAAAATGATTAAGTCAAAAAGGCTCTGCATTGAAACCAGTGCCTGCACTTCTCCAAGCACGCATTCAACCCATGGATGCTGAAGCTTTACCACAAAGGTGTATGGACATCTCTTAGGACTTCTTGGCAAGTCCCAATCAGTCTGATAACTGGAGAAAGTAGGTCTTCTGGGTTTTGGAGTATATTGCATTTGGAATCTAAGTGATAGCATATTTCCAACATGATCCAACAGTTGAAGGACTATTCCACCAGATGACAATTGACAATGCCTTATTAGAATGATAGAATCATAAAGGTTGGAAAAGATCACTGAGATCATTAAGTCCAACTATTAACCCATCACCACCATGCCCACTAAACCGTGTCCCTCACTGTCACATCTCCATGTTTTTTGAACACCTCCAGAGATGGTGACTCCATCACTTCCCTGGGCAGCCTGTTCCAATGCCTTGCCACTCTTTCTGAGAATAAATTTTTCCTAATATCCAACCTGAACCTCTCCTGGTGCAACTTAAGGTCATTACCTCTCATCCTATCTTGTTTTCCAGGACAGGAAAATGGCTTGGTCCAGATTTGTCAGGTTGGAAATAAAAATTAAATGGAACTTTCCCTTTTATTTATAATAAAAATGCCTCTGAAATGCAGCACATTCTTGCATTTATTTGCATTTGAACTCATACAGAAGAAAATTTATTTTTTTCTTCAAATCTATCTTGTGATTGAGTCAGGTTTATATGCCTTATGCCCTTTTAAATTCTTTTTCTTCTCTGTAATTAATGGAAAACCCCAGCACAACAGGATTTGAATACCCACAAAAGTAAAAATGAGTTCAACAAAATGCTGTTTGGACTTTCCCATTAGTTCTTGTTACTTATTTTGTGGCTTGCCAAAACTGCAAAGCAATTGCATAAGTTGGATGTAAAAGAAGAAACATTTCAGGAAACTCAGATAAGATCAACTGAAACTATAAACAAGTGAGTTATGTTGTCATCCCCCTAAGCAACCCTCCAAACTGAAGAAAGGCTTTAAGAAAGGTGTCAGTACTGTAAAAATTCTTCTGTCCAAAAAACGTAGAACGTAATGAAGATCACATTTCAGATGTGCAAGTGAAACCATTCATCTACTGCACATTTTTTTGAGGCCACTTGATACCAGAAACTACAATCCACACCCCTTTCCCTGTTTAGTTTTTTTCTTAAGAACAAAGCAAACACAATCAGAATATTTCCCCCTTCTTAATAGGATTATAGAATTCTCTCAGCTGAACTTGATGTACGTCATACCAAGAACAAAATATCTTTCCCTAGATAATTTAGGGCTGGAATGAGCTACTAGGCTTCCATAATCAACATAATGACTTTATTATGGTGCCACTGAGAAAACAATTGTTCTGAATTCATGAGGGTGTAGATAACTCAGAAGTGTTGCTTTTAAGTGAAAGTTTTCATAGGATCATATAATCATCTAGTCCAACCATCCACCTTCCACCAGTACAGGAGAGTAATTGGAACTTTAGGTTTGTTCTGACAAGGACTGGGTTGTTTATCTGGAAAAGAAGACCCAGAAGGACCGTTTATTTTTTGCATTTCAGGAGCTCAAGTGATACTAAACCTGGGTAAGCTTCCTCCGATGATTTGGTAGGTAACAAAAATGATGGAAATGTCTCCAACAATGCTTCAGCTTTCCCTTCTTTCCTCCTGAGTTGGCTCATGGCCAACCTACTGTCCACTAGAATACTCTGGTCCTTTCCAGCAGGCTGGTCCCCAGCCTGTACTGATGCACGTGTTTATTCCTCCCCAGGTGTAGGACTCTGCATTTGCTCTCGTTGAACCTCATCAGCTTCCTGTCTTCCCAGATCTCCAGTACATGGGATTTAGTGCCTTGCTGTTCACAGATATTTTTTACCCAAAGTGCATGGAAACCACCAACATTTCTCTATCCACAATTAAAAAAAGAAAGAATGAAAGAAGAAACATCAACAAGCTGCAAAGCAGAGATACTGGAATGATTTAATACCCCTAGGCTTGCACATCATGCTTAGACACAAAGGATCCAGCTTAAATAACCTCAGCTATTGTCCATCAGCTAAACCCTAATTTTCTTCTCCAAGGAACATGAAAAGAAATGACTGTATAGCAGAAGGTGTGGTTTACTTTGTGGATGGTTAAATACATTTATAGCTCAATTAGACTAGTTTTTTTCCGGTAGAATTGAATCTCAGGCTGGAATCACTATATGGCAAGGCACCAGGAGGTGTAGCATTAAATCCTGTGGTGAAAACAGGTAGCAGCTTAGTGACTAGGTGACAAGGATCCACGAAAGATGAAGCTCTTTCTGCCTCTTCTGTTGGTTGCCATCGCTGGCATGGAGTTTGGTAAGTTCCTACTCCGCCTTGTCCAAACTGCTGAGGGAGATGCAAGGTGAAAACCTCCCACTTTGGGGAATTTTCAGCAAAAATCTGTCTATGAAATATTTCCATCCTTTCAGATGTCCAGGACCATTATGTTCTGATTGAGGTTGTTCTGTAGGCTAGGCTCTGTAGGATGTGTTAAAGATAAAATGTGATTCTACAGTGCTATTTCTCTGATACAAATTTCAACTTTCACTTTCTATGTGTTCTTGCTCAGTCTGACTCTTTTTTTTTTTTTTTTTTTTTTTTTTGTGTGTGTGTCTTAATTTTAGTTCCTCTTTTAATATTTAATCCTGAAGCCAGCCAGCGTATTTAATGCTGTGTAGCGGCTCTCTCTAATTATACGTTGCATTTATAGTTTATTAAACTTCTGCTGTCAGAATTGGGTAAGACAGGCTGGGATTCAAAGCTCCTGACCCAAAGTACTGCAGGGCTGATTTTTCCAGCTCCATTTAGAAATGCATTGTCATCTGAATGAAGCCAAGGACAATTATGGGAGTCCAGCTTGGGAAATAACCAAGGGTGTAGAATTTGGGGGATTTTCCTCCTTGACAGAGGATTAGAGAGTTTGTCATGGCTAGAAGTATCACCCCTACAATCCTTCCTGCTTCATTTCTGTCCACCTTCGCTGGTCATACAACAGCAACTTAATATTGGATGTGATCAGTCTGGGATGTGGAGGTAGAGAGCAAGCCCCATGAGTTCTGTATCTTTTGGGATGCCATGTAAACCTTTACATGTCCAGCTGTGAAATTCAGAAATGTTTCTCCTGCATAACCAGCTCATGAAGTCAAATGTGGAGAGGTGTATGACATATGGCTGTTTGCATTCCTGAGGGAGTAGGAAATCCTCTTATTGCAGACAGTCCCACATGAGCAGCAATGCCACAGCCTCAAATGGTGGAATGTGACCACATGGTGCATTGATATCAAGATATTGATCTTGATATAGGCCCCTCATCCTTTGATGCTGCCGCCAGAATGGTTTCTTGCTTCACAACGTGATTTTACATTGCTGGTGTCAGGCTGTTAGTTGGGGTTTGAAGCAAGTCCTATGCAGGACAAATCAGGGGCTGTAGTTGCTTTTGGGATGTTCACATGCCCTGGATTTCTCTGGATGCAGCCAGTGCAGAGAATGATTTAATCAATACCTAATTAGGTTTTTTTGCCTTTTTCCTTTGTGTTTATTTCCAGTTTATATAATAAGATGCCTTCCTTCCTCCACCTTTGGGTCTGAAGATTGGATTCTTCCAGGGAGGGCCAAGTGGATGGGGAAAGAAGGGTTTTGTGGAGATTTTTTGCAAGATGGTCTCTAGGGAGGCAGATCCAACCAAGGGTTGGCACAGCAGTTCTCTTTTATTTTTATTTTTTTTTAATATCCTGCTTTCTTTCAAGGCATGGCTCTGGTCACTTGTAGTCCAAAGCCTTTGGGGTTCTTGTGCCAAAATCAATGGTTATCTTGTGCTTGCCACAGCTGTTACTGAAGAGATTCTGTCCTTACTGGTCTCAGGAGAAGATGTATCTTTTTTTTCACCATTATACTCTTTTCTTTCTGGTGTTTCTTTTCTGCTCATCAATGGAAAGACAGTAGTTCAGAGAGGAATATATTTAACTGACAGAGGATAACTTGGAGATAAATGACCTATGTGGTCAGGTGTCCTGAAGGGAAGGGATGGAATCCTAGAGTAGGAAAATAATGGAGTGGGATATAAATTTGGTTGAAGATTGACTCACAATCCTAATTTTACCATCCTGCTCAATTTTATCAAGAGTTGGGCAGCTGATTAATAGAGGCTCCTGCTTTGGTCCAGGGCTGCTACATTTCTCCTTCATTTTCTTCCACTTCCATGTCTCAGTGAGGTAGTCATGGTCAGGATGGATGCTTTAAGTAGGAGGCAAAGATGGGCAAATCTTGAAAACTTCATAGAGAATTCGGAAGCAAAATTTTTCTCTTAGTGGAAGAAAATATTTTTCTTCTTTTCTCCTCTGCAAAACTGGGGTAAAACTGTGATATATTTATAGTTCCTCTGTAACTTTTTCTCAACATGAATGAAATCTGATTTTTTTTAATTTCCTAGAAATTCAGTCAGAGGTGAAGTATGGAAGATCTGCCCATATCTAAGTGAAACTAGCAAAATCTTCTCTAAGAAATTCCAAGCTCTTTATCTTATCTTCTCTTTTGCTTTCAGCTCACACACATACACACACAAAAGTGCTATAACTGCTAATATTGAAATATTTTAACATTTTAATTTTTCTCTTCTTTTAAAGAAGGCTTGCCATCTGTCTCCATTCCTCTTCATGCTGTGGTTTCATTTTTAAGCTACTGCATGTCTGCTTGTCAGCGTGTAAGTTCGTAAGTTCTTAAAACAAAAAAGGCACCAGTGCAGTTCTGCTGTCTTCACAAATATGTGCTCTTCACAAATAAGCTTCACAGATATTTCAGAGCTCGTTTCAAACAGAGCTTTTATATCCTAAATGTTAAAATCTTGGTGTTTTGCCCTGCTTTGTGCGATGCCAGCTCACCATGACTACTGAAGCACTGCCTTATTTTCAAATGTGAAGCTGTTTAATTCTAGCTTTTGGTCATTTAGCTGTGTTAAACACTTCTTGATCTGCTATTTTTTCCGTCTTCAAAAAAAGGTATGTTCATAAATATAGCTACTATTTAATGTATTTAGCCATGTTTGAACCCACTAGTTTGAATGATAATGAAAATACCGAGTTTGCACATGTTGAGTACTAAGATCTCTTAATTTGACTCCCTTTGTGCTTTTTTATTTTCCAAATATAAATACCAGTCCTGTAGCTTTGGCTTGTCAGATGATGAGTTTCCCGAAATCTGAGAATAAAGACAAAGCTTCCTCCCTGAAGGTGTGTTTGACATCTGCCAGACATTGAATTAATGCAAACAAAGCATCAGTCCACAGTAAGCAAAGCTGGATAATAAAGTGAGCTTTGAATACAAACAGTACAATTGCTGAAGCCATTTATGAAAGGGCTCTTTCTGGGTTGCTAATTAGGGTGAAGCTGCAGGTAATAGCTATTTTCATAAGGTGTTTTACTTGCCTCAGCCTGCTCTTATGAAAGTCCATTTTAGGTGTGCTAACTGTTTCTCTTTCTCAGTGAGGTTTAAAGCACTGTCATCATGGTTGTCACACAGATAGAATGAGAAAGGTTTTCCAGACATGGAAATGCCTGAGGAGGAGCTACCAGCCTTTGATAGTGACAAAATGCATTTCTATGACTTCAAGGCACTGAAGAGAAAACTTAGATCAAATTTTGGGTTCTTCATCAAGACTGGGGAATAAAGCATTCTGGACAGCTTGTCCAATGATGGTTTGTGCTGCCTGGGAACCTTTGATTGGAAATACCAATCAACTATTTTGGCTTGATGTCTTTATCTTGGAGTGCTCAGGAAACACTGCACCAAAGTGCACTGGGTGTTTCCTGGATAAATTTCTCCATCCAAAAGGCTTCAGACACTGACTTGAGCTTGGTTCTTCTGTACATCTAGGAGCCATTCTGCAGCCCAACAGGAAAGTGATGAAGGAACCTAGGAGATGGTGAGAGTTGAGGCAGAGTGAGATAGCTTGGATTGGATTTGGAGCCTTTGGTGCCAGAGTGTCTTTTCATAGCTTCTTTCTAGAGCACAGGAGTCAAGAACATCTCCCCATGCAGTCTATTATTGTACCCATAGTCATCTTTTTTAAAATAATTTTTTACATATTCCTCAGTAGAAGAGAAAGATTGTGCTTAACTTGCTGCTACGGCTCAGTAAATTGAATGGAGACAGTTCCTCCTGTCTGGGATGATCTCCTATCCAAGAGCTCAATATCTGGAGAGTGACTAACATCAGATGAAATTCTCCCTGCTGCAGTTCACACTCAAGTCTGAGTTCTGTGTATCTAAACCTTTTTCTGACACTTCAGTAACATAAAGACAAGGAGAAAAGTAGATGCAGAGTAAGAGTTGTTGGGGCTAAATTAACTAGAAGCGTGCTTATTGTCCTGTGGGAATAACAGATGAAAACCAGTTGGGGAAGTGGTTAGTTGGCAAGCAGAATGATTAGTTGCTTGTCATAAACATGTGAAGCAGGGTCTGTTAGCTAATTGTGATGATGATTAAAAGAAAAACATCTTGCAAATTGCATAATTGAATGGTTGGAGGTTTCTTGGCTTTTTGCATGTCCTAGCTGGCTCTGGCTTCTGGGATAAGATCTTTGAAGAATTCAAGCAATGAGATTTTTTGTTTTACAAAGCCTGTCTTGCTGACATCTAGACAGTCACCATGCAGAGTAGTCAGCCCTGTCTTAGGCAACACGATTACCCATAGTGATTGGAAATAAGGGAGGAGTAGGTAAGTCGAAATGATCTTATTTCCTACATCTGTGAACTTACTGTTGGGTTTTTTTGGATCATTTTTTCTCTATTTTTATTTAGCATTGGGATGTTCCAGCACATTCAGCACATATTTAGTGCATTCCTTAGGGTGTAGAATCAACAATTAAGTAAAATTATCCTTAAACTCTTTTGTTTACTTAAGAACTATCTGGAGCTTAAAAAAGCGTATAAACATTCATGGGGGGAGGGAATAAAACAACAACAAAAAAACCCAACAACTTGCCAACTACCTTGATAACAAAACAAGACCAGAAGAATCATCCTTGTTCCCTAAATATTCAGTAGCCTGAAGCTGACAGGACTTGCCTGTATTATAGGGCCTCCTGCATATGGCTCTGTCTTTCCTGCCTTGTTACTGAGGGAGTTGAACCTACATCTGAGACTGTGTCTGGCTGACCAGACTAATGTATTTCTCATTCCCTGTAATGCAAATATGTTCTACCATTCAATTTCTCTGCAGTGTATGAATATTCTGGAGAGTGACACTACTCAGATGTACCTGGGGGGGGAGTGTGGACAGAACCTGATTTTCTACATTAAGGCCAATCCCTTATTTTTTCTCCTTACAGCCCAAACCTTGAAGTGTTACACCTGCCATGAACCTACAGCATCTGAGAAGTGCATGAAGATCCAGAAGTGTGGTAAGAATGAAACCATGTGCAAGACAACCATGTATTCCTTGGAGGAAGGTAAGAGCAAGTCTTCTTTATCTATATAATTAGTGAAAATCAGACTTCCAGTGCAGTCTGCTGGTATGGGGAGAAGTACCTTTTCTGACATATTTAAAACTGGAAGTCTCCTGCTCTTTTCACATGTCAGCACTTAGTGAATGTAAGTTTGTAGCTGATGTTCAACACTGGTCACAGTCAGAGAAAATGTGTTGACTTGAGTCTGAGACGTGGAGATGGAGACTTTTGTCACACTTATCTGTGTGACCTACACAATGGGTGGGTGGAGTAGAGAGCTGATATAGGTACATCAAGCTCAGTAAGGTAGGAAGGCCAACTGATGGCTAACCAGAGGCAAACCATAAATAGAACTGAGTTCTCAGGAGCCTTTAGGAAGGTATCATCAGCCTGCAAGTGACCCTAAAGGCCTTGATCTGTCCAAATAAAGAAACGTAGTGCTAGGATGGAGGTTCTGTCTTTTTTTCTGGCTCACCTGGGAAGTCTTTGTTTGCATGTGGCAGAGAAAGGAGATATTGAGTAGAGTCAAAGTGGAGATAGATTGATAGATTAAGTGTTTGATGGGACTTCTGCAGGAGTAAGCTGATCCCGACAGGTCACAGAGGATGCAATGTGCTGTTCAGCTTAGAACCACTGGTCAAGAACTGTTTCTTATATTTCTGGCAGGAAGTGGTACAGTTATGTTTGCACTGATGCCAAGACTTCAGTGGTGAAGTTAGTTAATGTTACAGCTAGGGACAAAGAGATTGCTGTTCACACTTCCCATTCCTTCCTGTTCCTTCTTTCTTGCTTTGTTGCAGTTTATCCTTTTGTGGGACTCTCAACTGTCACCAAGATGTGCTCTTCAGTCTGCAGCCCATCTGATGTGGATGGGATTGGCATGACGCGCCCCGTCTCCTGCTGTTACTCCAACTTGTGCAACATTGATGGTGCAGCTAGTTTGAGAATCAGCTTTGTGCCAGTTGGGATGTTAGCAAGCGTCGTATGTTGTCTCTTCTGGTCTAGACTGTGAGGAGCTGAGGAAGGCATGTTTCTTCCAAAGAACCCAACAGAGAAGAGAATGAAACCCTGGCAGCCCAGCTTTCCATTTAGATGGCTCATGAACTACCTTCAACGTCTTCCACAAATGGTGTTTCTAGTTCCCACACTCCTTCCATAATCAGGAGGGAAGCAAAAATTCAGGAATTCTCAACAACATTTTTGAGGTTGATTCTCCGACATTTCCCACAGAAATAACTTTCTTTCTTTTGCTAGTCTGGTTGATTTTGAACTAAAATTTATGGTTTGTATAGTATATTTAAAGCAAAAGGCACAGAGCTAGGTGTTCCTTAGAGCATTCTCTTCCCCACACGTTCATAGCTGAACTGACCGATCTTCTCATATGAAATTCACTTTTATGTAGCATATCCTCTCCAGCCCACATTTTTGTGCTGGCCCTTTTTGCTGCCTAGATTTCCTTCTTAGTGCATAAGAAGTTAGAAAGACATTTCTATGCTTCCGGAATATGAGACAGGAGATCGGTGACCTGATCCAAGAAAGCTGAAACACCTTTTGTTCTCTGTACCCTTTTGAGCAAAATAAAAACAATGTTGTGTTAAAACTGTAATGGTTGCTGAAGTTATTTATAATGTACTTGCATTCTAATAAAATTTATTTTAATTTTTACTTCCACTGATTTTCAAACTCCATTTCCCCCTTCCAGTATTGTTTTGTACAGTGGAATGAGTTGGGTTTTGTTATCAGTCCTGCAGTAATAAGACATTTCTCACTATTTCCTACTGACAGAGGCCTTTCTTCAATATTTCTTTCACAAACTCCACTTGTAAGGAACTATCTTTATTGGGTGATTTAATTTTGTTAAATTCTTGCCTGAATTTGGAATTCTGATCTGATTTTTCCTTTTCCTATAAAATCTTTTTTCAGGATTTACCAGCGAATTACTCCTCCTCTATTTATCACTTTGTTTATGATATTTGAAATTATCAATAAAGATGCTATTTGAAGCCTTCCACGTAGCAGGTTTTGAAGCGAGACAGTGCATTTTCCATCCCTGGGAATTTTCACAGTTCAGCTGGGTGAAACCCTGAGGAACTTAGTCTGATTTCATGGTTGAGAGCTTTGATAAAGTACTTGAACTAGAGACCACCTGGGGTTCTCCTTCCAACCTGAGTTTCTTGTGATGCTATAATGCACCTACTGACAACACCAGAGCATAAGCATCATTATTTCCAAGTGCATTGCAAAGTTTGGTAGTTGCTTTTGCAGCTATTTTCACCTGCCCCACGTTGCTTCTCATTGCCAAAAATGGGATGAATGTTGGATGAACTCCAATTCCTGGATTCATACATAGTTCTTAGCTGGGTCAAATGTGGTTCTTTTTTTTTGAAACAACAGTGGCCAAGATGCTGCATAGAGGTGACAAGAGGAGCCACATTTCTGTCAATAGAAACCACCTACAGGTTTGTCCTCGCTGACAATGTGTGTTTTTCAGTATCCTCTGCTTGTGAGCCATGTCCAAAGCTTGGTCCCCAGAGATGTGTGAGATATTCATGTCTTGCTGCTGTACAAATGTGGTATATGGGGGTTTCCTTTTTACTTGACAGCTTTGGTAACCAGCAGCCTCAGGTTTTGCTGTCCCAGGGGCTGGATCAGGACTTCTCAGGACTATCAGTATGCATTATTTCACGTTGAGTTTATTCACACTCCCCAGACTTCAAAGCACCCTTTTAGGATCAGTGCCACTATTTCATTAAGACTAATTTGTTTCTTTTCTAAATCCTTTACCTCACTGTTTCATTCAAATCCCTTGTTCTTACAGATGAGCAATAATCAAATTGCTTCCTGTCTGCCTTTCCTATATAATTAATATTATATAGCCCAATAGCTACCCTGGTAGTTCTCCTAACCAAAGATATTGTGCCTAAATCCAGGTATCCCTCAAGATTCCATTATAGGATGAGAGGTAATGGCCTTCAGTTTTGCCAGAGGAAGTTCAGGTTGGTATTAGGAAAAGATTATTCACAGAAAGAGTGGTTGGGCACTGGCACAGGCTGCTCAGGGGGATGATGGAGTCATTGTCCCTGGAGGTTTTCAAGAAATGTGGAAATACGGCACAGAGAGACATGGTTAGTGGGCTCGTTGGGGATGGGTCAACAGTTGGACTAGATGATCTTGGACTAGGTGATCTTGGTGGTCTTTTTCAACCTTAATGATTCTATTATTCTATGATTCTGTGAGTTGGCATGATTCTGTGAACTGGGCACTTGTTGATCTTGCTGTGCTATTGCTAAGATCTAGTGCAAGTGATTTTTCATGTGCTGGATAAATGCAGTGGTAATGTGCCATGACTATTACATTCCTCAAGACCACATCTCTGCTCTTCATCTGTTCACTGAATTTTCACTCCAGAGCACTTTACCAAAGGAATAAGACCTCATAACTTTCTTCTACAGTCTAAAGAAACCAAGATATCACTGATAACAAGGCTGGAGCCCAGGTGGATAAGGACTTTCTCATTTCAGTCTATAAGCACTTGCGAAAAGCACTACTTTACTTTCTCTCTGCAGACAAAGCATAAAGGAGCCCATATATTTTGCATCTTTGTAAATGGAGGGTTTATTTGGATGTGACCAGAACACTGAATTACTTGGTCGCTTGTCAGGAATGGAAAAACTATTGGCTGGAAGTGTAGGTCAGCACTCCTACACATGAAACCAACAACTTCACCAGATTTTCACTGCATAGCACTGCTCTTTTTTGGGCATGAGTTACTGAGCTTGGATTACCTTGTCCTTACCCATGTTTGTTGGTACTCACTGGAGTCATGGCCCAGAGCATCGTGAAACTGTCACCTCAAAGAACATTTAAGAAAAAATACATCAGCAGCCAGATTATTGTGCTATACTGTTATTTTAGTGAACACTACTAAAAATACCCGTGCAGTTGTGCACACTGAGAGTATAAACCATTGGCAAAGCTTACTGAAAGTGGTTGAAACCAATCTACTGCTGAGCTTGAAGAAGTGAGCTGAGCCTAACAGTTTGGAGGAGCAAGGTCTCAGTTTCAGAGATTACGTTGTTAGAGCCCTGTAGCACAGTAAACACTGTATTGTCATGGCTAGTAACAGGCAACAAGTTTTTTCTTGAATTTGGACACCCGCAAGGCTGAGGCATGTTGGGCTTGTTTGGCTGACTCTGTCTTGGCCTGCCTGGAGCTTTGTTTTTCATTTGTTCAGCTCTACCTACAGTTTTTTTTCTATTTGAACTGGTGGTTATGTTAATTTGCTTTAGTTTTGTTTTCATATGGTGCAACTGTAGGTTTACGTAGGCAACCATAAAAAAGAGTTCTTCAGAAATTATGACTCCAGTGTAGTGACGGGGTGTAAATAATCACAGACTTGATTCAGCGGCAGTGCATTGAGCAGTGGAGGTGTAGGACATGAAAAAGAGGAGTGCATGGATGGAGGGACAAGAGAAGGGCCCTAGGCTTGCACCAGAAATCCTTCAGCCATTTCAGCAATCTCCCTTGAGGAAAGGTTTAGACTGGATATAAAGAAGAAGTTTTTTACAGTAAAAGTGATGAGAAACTGGAACAGGTTGCCCAGAGAGGTGGCAGACATCCCATCCTTGGAGACATTCAAGGTCAGGTTGGACAGGGCTCTGAGCACCTTCATCTAGCTGTAGATGTCTCTGTTCATTGCAGAAGAGTTGGACTAGGTGACTTTTAAGTGTCCTTTCCAACTTCTGTGATTCTGTAATAATCAACTCAATGGTGGTTCAATAAAGAAATGAAGACCTGGATGTGGACAAAACTACCTTGAAGGAAAGCAAGAAAAAAAAATCAAACCTACTTAAAACGCACCATACAGTGTAAAATCTGTAGACTAAGGAAAGAAGAGGAAGGATTAAAAGTGTTATAGCAAACATCATCAGAGGACTCCCTGTGGATCCTTGGTTGATGAAGATTTCGACCTTCACTAATTATAATGCTTTGATTAGATTGTTAAGATTTCATTTAGGTTAATGGCCAATTATTGGTTTTATGTATAAAGTGCATTTCTTTTTTGTATCTAACAAGATTTCGAGCATAATAAAAATAAAGATATTCCCATCAGGCCATGGAGAGATGGTGATATGTGCAACTGCTTAAGTAGGTCTAATTTCCTGTGCTGCTTATTTTGTTGTGGTGTACATCAGTATCTCTATGGGATACGGTCAGTCCAGCTCTTGGCACTGAAGGCATTTTTGTGGTATCTGAAAATTTCACAGTCAGGGATATGTTATTCTGGGGGTCAGAGATTTGGGAAGTAAGTGTAGCATTGGAGATGGGCAAAGGAAGAATAGATCCTAGAGAGATACTAAAACCCCTTGGATCATTACTATGTTTTCAAGGGGGCATAACACCAAAAGGATGAGGAGGTTAAGTCATCTCTCTGATCTAGGCTAGTTGGGAAAAGGAGGAATGCACAGAACTTTTATCCTTTCTTTTGTGCTATGCCATTTCTTGCAATTGCTTGTACAGCAAGTCTGAAGACGAGCAGCTCAAGAATTTCTATGAGAAAAGAAGGTCTGGTAACACAGGACTCTTCATTGTAACAGTCAGTGGTGTAAGAAGATGTTGCAAGCTGAAGATGGACAAATTCAGACTGGAAATAAGGTGTACATTTTAAACTGAACAACCTGTTAACATCTACTTTAGGACAGAATAGGCTAGAAATGACTATTCCTAAGAGGAGCTTGAGTGCCTAATTCTGGTGGACATCTGCATGTTAGTAACATTCAAGATCTGGTGGCATGGGACATACATTTGGTATATTTCAATGACACAAGATGTGGCACTTGAGAGAAAATCAGAAGGTCCCAACAAAGTCCTCAACACTTCTACAATTTCATTAGAGGGTCGTAGAATCATAGAATTGTCTGAGTTGGAAGGGTCCCTTAATGGTCATCTTGTCCAACTCCCCTGCAATGAACAGGACGTGTACATCTAGAGGCAAGCGATGAGAATTTATTTCACAGCTGTGTGCTCCAGCCTTCCCTTTTAATGATGCCTCTTGAACCAAGGAGATTATTTGAGATCCTCGTCAGTTAAAAATACATTAGACACAGCTGATTCTCAGTGCTCTTGCTTTATGGCTTTAAATTCTGTGTCCACATAGCTGTCATTGGTTTGACAAGCCACATGCAGAGGATGCTAATCGTCCCCTCCCTTCATTGGCCACGGATGCTTCACCTCTTTGATCTCCAGCCAGTTTCTCAGTGTGTTTCCTTCATTTCAGCTATTATAGCATGTATCACAGCTCCTTTTTCAGATCTGCTATGAAAAGCATAAAATCTTTGTGGGTGAGGCCTTCTGTTTCACAGTTGTACGCAAGAACAAAGCAGAGTTCTGAAACCACGGGGCAGTGTTTTCTGGACAAACACAAACCTGAGCCTCTTGTGCAAAGAGCAAGTAATGTAGCATGCAAATCTAGCATATAGTTCTTTTCCCACTTGGTATAAAAGTTGTCTATACCTAGACTACTTCTGGAATTGCTGACTCAGTGTATTTATTTCCCCCCACAAAAGACACAACAGGGCCTTCTGTTCAGTTTTGCTGATTTTGCTGAAGTGTATTTCCTTCCTCATTCAGGTCTCCCTCAGATGCATGTTTTTTTTTTTTCTTTTTTTTTTTTCTGGTCCTTCTCACTCCCAGAGTCTGTTAAATTTGTATATTCTTCCTGAAGGTTTGTATTCTTTTACTCATTTATGACCTCTGCTCCTAAGCTTTCCCAGTGTCTTGTGTCTGTTTCCTTTTTTTTCCATCACTGTACATCTTCAAGAATCATTGAGGTTGGAAAAGAGCACAGAGATCATCTAGTCCAAAAGTCTTGCCCCTATACCCTCCCACTGGGTTGTTGCAAACAGCAGTAAGGTTTCCTCTTTTCCTTCTCTTCTTC